CAGAGTCGCCACCACCTCCCCCAGAGTCCCCACCACAAATGCCCCTAGAGTCAACGGAACCCAAGCCAAGTCCACTGCCAGAATCACAGCCCGCATCAAAACTAATTCCAGCTGAGGATTCCACTTGACATGAAGGTTGATCTATAGAGGGCTGATAATCATCAAGGCCTCCAGATGAGATGTTGGCGTTTGTGACATTGGCAGACATATAGTAGTAATCATCCGAGGTACGATCGGTGGTGGTTGTTCCCAGGCAGCACCAAAAGTCTGCAGCAACAGTACAGATGAAAAGCCAAAGTGATTTTCAACATATGTCCATCAAAGTAAAGGTCATGATAACAAATAAAAAGTATACCCTTAGTTACGCTCAGCACACCTGTCTGATATAGCCCAAGGACAAACTAAATTTTGTTTCAAAAGTGTGAACAAATAATTTTTACTTGGCTCTGTAGCTCCATTCACAGACCAATCTCTAATTCATACAATTCTCTAATCATAGGTGGCTGATAAATCGTGCAGGATTGATACAGTTTGAACATATGTAGCTACAGAATGATCAACCTTGTGAAAGAAACAATGAAACGAAGGAAACATAAAAGGTGGTTGAGGGGAATGCAGCCATGCTTTGATTACACTAACAGGTCACAGGTCACAAATGATCTTAAAATCCCTCTACAATGGAATAGGTATTTGATGAGACAAGAGGTTTGGTGACAAAAAGTCTAATGTAACTTACCAGCAGAAGAAGGGCTTCCTTTTTTCTCTTCCCCAAGGATAAAGTCCCTAAATCGGGCGTAGGCTTTCTCAAGATTATCGTTAACAAAAACTAAGTCAAAGTTGCCAGGGATGTCAGCTGCCGATAACAAAAATAAAAAGTCATCAAACACGGCACAACTTTAGCACCAGAAAAATTATAAGCAAAGATTTCATACCATAAGCCAACTCTGAGCGTGCTGTAGTCAAGCGTTTTTGCAAACTCTCTTCTGTTTCAGTATTGCGATCTCTTAATCGTTTCTCAAGCTCTTCCATTGACGGTGGTTTAATAAATATATAAATCGGATTTAGGTCGGTCTGTTTCACCTGCTTCACACCCTCTACCTCTATATCCAAGACACAAATCTTTCCTAGAGCTTGAACTGCGGCAACAGCAGCTTTGCTGATCATTAAAAAATACAAATGAGAAACAATCTGAGTAAGCTAAATCCTCAGAAATGTTGCTTCAGAACTTACAACAAGGACTTACCTAGTGCCATACATATTGTTCGAAAATACTGCACTCTCAATGAATTCTCCACGCTCAATAGCTGCTGTCATTTCGTCTCTGGTGGTGAAGTGATAGTGCTTACCATCCACCTCACCAGGACGAGGTGAGCGTGTGGTATGTGATACACTAAATCCAAATTTGTCAGGAAATTCATCGAACAATAGGCGCAGCAAAGTTGATTTTCCACAGCCAGATGGGCCACAGAGGACAAGAGGACGCAGTGAATGGACCATGGTGATGCCTGAAATGGGTAGGATGCTATAAACGCCAATGCAGTACAGAACACCTCGGCGGTAGGAAGGGTAAAATTGCTTTTAAGATCAATTAGAATTATCTCTTTATGGTCATGAAGACTTAACCTAGGCCATAGTTGCGCTTTACGAACAAAAGTACGTAAATTGAATGCGACACATAGAAAATTGCACGCAGTAGCGTTGAGAATTTGCGATCGGAATTAGAAAATTATCAACAGAAAGAGATGTGACAGTGGTTCGACAATTAGCGAATGTTCTGGCACTGGGTAGCGTGGACGCGTGTGCTGCAAAACTTGTAGTTTCAATTCCTGACAGTCCAAATTAATTGTATGAAACGGGAAAACCAACCTGCCAAAGAAGCGAACCCTCGGCGTAACAAACCAGGTGCTAAAAATAAAGACGAAAACCCCGTTTTTGCACAAGTGCGCAAACTTGCGCGAAGCTCAGTCGTGAAATTTGAAGATCATCAATGACCCACCACCATCACCATGCGACATGCAAGCGAGACTTTGTTGTTGTTTTCTATCTGCAGTCTTTTGTTTTTAGAAGCGTGACGTCAATGGCGAGCGGGGTGGGGTGGGGGGTGGGGGCATTTTGGGCGCGCTTTGTTTGAAGCTGTTTGAATTGAACGTTGAAACAGATTTGTTCGTAGTGAAAGAAAGAGACGTATAGTTTTCTTTAGATGTTTAATTCATTCAATCACTAGTTACTTTATATAGTTTTTCTAGTAACCTCACATTACTCTTGCTGTGACAATACTTTCGCATCCACACTTTCATTCATACATTCATACATACATGCACATGCAGACACTGGCACACAAGCACGCACACACACACACACACTCACTCACACACACAGAGTTTTGCACACAAGCACAGAAACAAGTAGTTTTTTTATGGCAATAAGCAAACCATACTTAATAAAAAATCGTATTTACATTAATGATTATTAACTGAAAATGAGCAGGAAAAGAAGCATAAAATTTTGATAAGAGTTCTTATGCAGTTGTAGGCCATCAGCCATATGGCCAGAGGAAAGAAAATCCTCATTTGTACAAAATTGAACTGCAAAAAATGGAAGTAAAGTGACACACTTCAGAGAAGAAAGATCTCCTTAAAACTACTTTCACACATATTTACATTATTTTAATAGATTCAACTCATTGCGAAAGTAAACCAACACTAAGACAGGCAACTCAAACACCAGTCCAACAACAATCCTAATGAAAAGAACAAGCATGTCATTTTTGTTGGCATTGGAACATCATTACATATACTAAAAATGATTTGTTGGTCATTAGTGCAAAATGAAAGTACACAACTCATATCACAACAAATAATTTAGCTCGTCAGGCAGTTGAGTTCTTCCTCACCTTCAATTTCAAATACAGAAACTACAATCTGAGTCCACAATAGTATAAAACTGCATTCTAAAATAAATCTGTTGCAGGATGTCTTCACTTGTCATGACTAAATAATTAAAATAACTTAAAAAAGGTCCAATCAGTCTTGAATGTACAGCAGGGCTCCAATTATAGTATCTCTTGTTTGTTAAATAAACCAGTAAAATGG